TGTTTATAATAATATAAATGTGTTATAAAATTTGTTATTATTATTATTATTATTATTATTATTATTATTATTATTATTATTCAACACAGACAGCTTGATTGATTTTGTTGCTATAATAATTATCTACAGAAAAAAATACATACTAATTCCAATTTTACAACAAATTCATGATTTTATTGTTGTTTATTATAAATATTATGTATAGTATGTGCGTGTATGCCTATCTATAAAATGGAAAAATTCCCATTTGAAAATAAATGTGTTGTTTTCCATGTACAACAACGTAAGGCGACTGTTTAGCGCAAGACAAGTATGAGACTTTCTTTTCTATTTGCTATTTTAATCTCCATTTAAACCATTGTGCTGCAGAATGAAAAAAGAAAAGGAGGAAAAAATAGAAAGATGAGCCATGGAAAGAATGCATTAGCAGAAGAGGGGAAATGGAAAGATGTCTGCAGAAGGTAGGCAGAAAGAAGGAAAAGCGAGCGAGAAAACCCCTAGAGGATGAAGAGAGGACTGTACTTACTCGGTGGACAACACACAGTGACTCGTAGTTTCATACATGGGAGGGGGGGTCCGTCGTCTGTGGACAGTGCTGGAAGGAAAGAAAGACATAGAGAGAGTAACATAGCAGACTGATGTCTTTGACACTGGGAAAGAGGAATCTAAATTTGTTGCCACCAAATCGATGCTGTAGACTGCTCGCACAAAACACAAATACACACATAACCCAGGGCCATAAAAAGACTGCTTGACTCCGATGGAATGGCTAATCCATTAGCGCAAGTAGGAGCTGTAACGGGCTCGTTAATGCTGAGCTCGGCAGGACCGACTGTGAGCCGTTCCACAAATGATGGACACTCTGATGCAGTCAGATGGGCTCTGCGCAGACATTCACACTTCATAAACGTACATGATTACACCGTTACAACATTATTTACACACCTGGAGGTCATTTACTTTCAGCTCATCTCTAAGTGTGATCCAAGCGTGACTGCATATATTTGTTTTGAAGAAAATTCCACAACACAGTGGCATCAGAATGCTCAAACACAGTCTAACATTTCCTCAGTGGAAAAAAAAAAAAGAATTAAACATGCTCGGACTATGAAACATTGTGGATGTTGATGATAATGTGTGTATATTTTACATTACACTACATTTCTGCTTTGTTCTTTACTGCAAATTAAAGGTTCTCTGAGTGTTTAAGCCCTATAGGAAGTCAGTTGATAACATATAATGATCTTCTTTTACAGCTATACTGAAACTGCAGCTTGTCAAGCTGCTCATTTAAAGTTGTTCAGCTGCAGTCAAAAGAAGCTTTTGAGAAAGTAGTTCAAAATGCAGCAAGCACACCAACACTGGAACTGTGAAGGCCTCAAAGTTTTATGATTAAATTTGGAGTCATTTGATGTCAATTTTCACACTACGTTTTCATTGAAAGTTGAGCTGAACCTGTCTGACAGGTTGACCCAAAATGACCCAATTTTAGTCATAACACAATTTTGACAAAATGTGTAGTTACTGCATTTTGCCGTATCTAACTATATTCAACATAGTTTTGCTTATTTCATTTATTTTTTCAAACAGCAGTATTTACCTGACACAAATATTCAGGAACCCAATTAGGGTGACAGCATTATACCGCATTTGAACAGATCATTTTACACTAAATATCACCAATAACTCAACAAAAATCAAATAATTCAGTCACCATAATTTGTATAACTCCAAAACATAATAATGAACAGCCCTATTTAACTAAATACTATATTAAAATTCATACCATAATAACATTATGTATTGTATAATATATTACAAAATAAAAAGAAAACGTCTTCCCACTGGTAAAAAAAAAAACAGCAGAAATGTCATATGGAAATGATGCATGAATGCATGAAATATTATATATATATATATATATATATATATATATATATATAAATTCAACATGTAAGACCCCATAAGACAACCATCTCCGTGTCAAATAAAACAGCTTTTAATAGGCTACTGATTCGTTTTTATTTAATGAGTGCACACCATTTTAATGTATTTTGCAAAATACAAATTCATTAATTTCTACATTAAAAGAAGAAAAAATATCCTCACTGCACCTTTAAAATGAGGACTCGTTCTGCTAGAGCCTGCTGCTGGTTTTTTAAGCATGCTACATTAACATCAAGGGTAAGTCTGATGTTACAGTTGTAGATACAGATATACTTCATGTATATGAACATGTATACACACACACACACACACACACACACAAACACCCTGCAACAAAGCATGTGCCCTAAAATGCTGTGTGTTTACGCATATGCATACCTCATTAGCATCAGGCCATGTTATGAATGCTGTAAAACTATAATGAATCTCTTCCCAGAATCTGAGCAGCAGGTCTGGAGGTAGACAGACACGCTTAAATTCAGGATTGAGTGGGTCTGCCGTTTTAAAGAGTGTCTCTGGCTCCATGTTTAATCATAACCATAAATCTATAACAGCCATTTCAGTAACACATACCACAGCAGCGGCCATTTTCATCTAGTAGAGAGGCTTTTAACCGAATGTCTAACAACCGCAGATACATCCACTTAGTATGCACAGTAATTTCACATTGACGATAATGAGAACGGCTGACTCCAGCAGGGGTCTGTGTGTGTGTGTATGTCGTTATGTGTGTTTTGGTTTTCTGAACCCCATATGCATTCGGCCATAACTTTTGGGTTTGTGTTCAAGGCATTTGAGTGACTCTGGATTTCAAAGCAAAAGTCTGAGACCACTAGTAAAACTGCCTCGATTTTTTTTATTGAATTAATTTTTTTCTTCAAAAATTATATTAGTAGCATAGAAATTTTAAGTGGGAAAACGGACATAAATTTGTCTTTGTATTTGGTATGGGGGTCAACGACATACAGTGCCCATGATAAACACAAGAAAGAACATCTTTTAGAAATCTAGTTTAAAATACGTGCCATGTTTTTAGACAGTGCACTTTTTGTGTTCATGTTTGTTTCATATGGTGTGGAATTCTTTTAAATACCCTTTTCAAGAAAACTTAAAATTGAATTTCTCTCAAACATACCATGTGGTTTAATCATCAAGGAAAAAGTCAAATATATATTTTCCTTACACAGTATAATTTCTAAATATTTTTAAAAATAGTATCATGAATTAAAAATTCATAAATATTAAATTTCTGGGGATGCACCACATGACATCTCACAGCTTGAATTACTTGGTATTAAACCAACATAAAAAAGTCACAAGCTTTCCTGATTTTTTTTTTTTTTTTTGCATGCTGGTTGCACCATGCCTTTAATTTGGCAGGCAAAGTTTTTAAAATATTAATAAGCAGTTTTGCAGTTTAACATTTATTTGTATTAATTTTAATAATTTTAGATTTTTAATAATAATAATAATTATTATTATTATTTATAATAAATTAAAAAACATTAATTTTAGTACAAAGTAAAACACTCATTATAGAAATGTATTCAGTCAATGTATACATTTTATGTACATTTTTAGTGTTTTTCTATTTTTCAGCACGTTGGTTGCACCACGACTTTAATCTGGCAGGCAACGTTTTTAAAATATTAATAAGCAGTTTTGTGGTTTAATATTTATAGTAATAATTGTAATATACAATTTTTTATTATTATTATTATTATTATTAATAATAAGAAAAATTATTAAGAAATAAATTTTTTCTTTTAAAAAATGACATTAATCTGAATACAAAGATTAAGACAAAGAAACAAACATGCTCATTATAGAAGTGTATTCAGTCAATGAATGAATCTTATGTACATTTTTAGTGTATATTTTAATAATAAGAAAATGGCATCATGTCATTGACCAATGTCTCTCTGTTGATTTCATTACAGTTACACTGAAGCTGAAAACTTGATCCATGTTGTTAATCTAAAAGGAAACAATCCAATGGGAGAGTCACTTACAGGCACTTCTTGTATTAAAGTCCAGTTTGTCTTGAACTCTTTAGTAGTTATCTCTTCCATTTCATCCTTGAATGCTCTTACTCGTACTAACACACACAGACAAACTACTACTTGAATTTAGATCGGACACACTGATCCCTTGTTTTCAGCTACAGGATTGAGCTTAAACAATTAAAAAGACAGACACATTGTTACGCTTTCTTTGAAGTGAACAATAGACACACACACACACAAGCAGGGTAGGGTAGGGTTTGTGAAGTTTGACACAATGGATCTGTGCTGTGTATACACTCTCATGCTTGAACAATGCTCTATTGTCCTAGTCAGCACTGCTGTAATTTATGTAAAGATACTTTCCCCCCTTTCTGTCTCTTCCTCTTTTTCCCACCCTCTTTCTGGCCTTTGTTGTCCCACTCTTTCTTTCAAGGAGGATCTTTCCTCTTCTTCTACTCTCTCCCTTTCGACCGCCATCCTTCATCCTATAAGACCCCTGTGTCTGCAGACCCTCCGTCAGCCACTCCACGCTTTGGTTTTACAGTATATTGATTCTCTTTCTATTTCATGGCTCCATCATGCTATTCCACTCTTTCAGATCGAGCACATTGACACATTGAATATGGTAAACATCCAAAGTTTTAAAAAGCAAGAGTAAAAATGGATAAATAACAATAAATAATTGATCTAGAATTTAAAGCAGCAAGGTTTTAACAAACTGAATGTCTGTATCCCTACAGGGTGATTTTGACCTTGTCAACTGTATTCAAAACTTAAAACCAAGTTTAAACAACATCATAATTCTGACCCAATATGTTTAATTTATATTCAATTAACTGTCATAAGAACTATTTTTTACTACTACTTACTTTTCTTTTTTTTTATTAACTGCAAACTGTATTACAACAGTGTAGCAGCACTTGCGAATCTCATCTCAACAGCCCATAAATTTAGTAAAAAAAAAAAACACACACAAATATATATAAATATATTATAGCTTCAGGCTTTTTTTTTTTTTTTTTTTTTTTAAATAGTAATAAGAAAAACTGTGTGTGCTTTTCTAACCCAGAAAGGGAGAAGAAATAAGAGAAGGGAATTGAAAAGCTTTGGCCTGAAACCAAAGCTGTAAAAACAGGAAAACTGTCATGTAATTTTATGGCCACAGACCATCTTTCCTTCCTTTTTAGAGCCGAGAGGACAAGGGCGGAGCCAAAAGCAAAAAACAAAAGGAGCATTTTCACTTATACTCTCATGAATATTCATATAAATCCTAAAAAACTTATAAGATAAACATGCAGATAAACACAAAAGCAGAGACTCACTCCTGCTCACCAGGGTAGTAAAAATCAAAGTTGCTGTACCTGAATATGTTTTAATAACATTACATACTACACTACACGAATTAGGCTGTATCGTAATTCAAGTTGTATTTAGTACAAATGCATCTGTTCAAGGTTAAGCGGTCACCCTGATTGACGTTTTTGTGTATGTTCTCCAACACTGTAGCTCACTTACAGCTATAGTAGTAATGGTGTCCGGGCAGGAATTCAAAGCCCAGGGAGAAGGGTGTGAAGCGCTGGATCTTTTCAGAGAATCTGACAGGGCCATAGGGAGCGTACGGCTGGTTACACTCCCATCTCTTAATGGCCTCTTTAGTCTCCACGCAGCCCCTGAACTGGCCCTCAGCCACCAGGTAGAGAGCCAGAGTCTCCACAGGGCCGCTCGACGGGTGGTCGGCAGGATAGTGTGGACACAGTATATCCAGATAATCACTCAGATTGACCTGGACAGAGTAATCATCTCCTGTTAACCTGAGAGCAAGAGAGGTAGAGAGAGAGAGAGAGAGAGAGAGAGAGAGAGAGAGAGACAGAGAGAGAGTGGTATATTAGAGGGTGTATTTCTATCATGAGAGAAATTCATGGCCACAATCATTAAAAATGGCATTTTTCCAAGTCCACAGAACAGACGCGTCAGCATGATCTGCACTGAATCACACTCACATCGACACTCACTTGGCCGCTCCGTGGACTATTTAGTGATCAGTCACTGCTGCGAAACAAATGCTTTAACGCATCAGAAAATTAGTTCGTACCAGATGATACAGATAGAGGGATGCAGCGAAATCTTGTAATTGTAAAGATGGGCAAGCTAAATTAAGCAAGTTTTCATGTTACTGGAGTGATAGTGCACAATAACGCTGAAAGGAAAGAGAAACCCTGAGGATTTCAGTAAGGTCAAAAGATTCACACAGCAGCAGATACGGACCATGGCTTCAATAACAGCTTCATGCTAATTAGTGAGAGTTTCGTTCTTTGCTTGCCACACACACAAAGTCAAAAGTCAAGTTGCACTAATAGGGGAAGAATTAGCATAAAATGGCCCTTAGTGGCTTGGTAAATAAATTCACGCTCCCATTTGTTTACACACTGTTGACTTTAAAAGGAAGTGTGTTGAAGACACCATCAATGAAATGAAAGCGAGAAGAGCGAGAAAGACAAAGACAAAGAAAGAACAAAGAACAAAATAATACAAATGAATAAAAGAAAACATAAAAAGTTAAAAAAAGAATGAAAGCTGGAGAGAGAGAGAGAGAGAGAGAGAGAGAGAGAGAGAGAGAGAGAAAAGGAAAGTAGACAGAAAGAAAGAAGTCAGAAAGAACAACAAAAAAATAACAGACAGAAAGAATGACGATGAACAATAAAGAATGAATAAACAAAAGAAAATATGAAAGGATGAACAAAAATAATGAGAGAGAAATATGGAAAAAAGACAGGTAGAAATAATGACAAGAAAAGAATGAAAGAAAAATAGGGAGAGAGAGAAAAATATCAAGAAAGAAAGAAAAAAGAAAAAGAACGACAGAAAAAAGTAGGAACAAAAAAGATGGACAGAAAGACAGAAAAATAAAGAAAAGGAAAGAAAGTGAGAAAGAGCAAGATGACAGATGGAAAGAAGGTACGAATGACAGAAGAAAATAATGACAGAAATGATGAAAGGAGGAACAAAAAAGAAAGATAAAACAAGAAAAACAAAGAATGACAATGAACAAAAGAATGAATAAACAAGAAAATATGAAAGGATGAACAAAAATAATGAGAGAAATATGGAAAAAAGACAGCTAGAAATAATGACAAGAAAAGAATGAAAGAAAAATAGGGAGACAGAGAAATATCAAGAAAGAAAGAAAAAAGAAAAAGAACGACAGAAAAAAGTAGGAACAAAAAAGATGGACAGAAAGACAGAAAAAGACAGAAAATGAAAGAAAGTACGAATGACAGAAGAAAATAATGACAGATAAAGAAAAGAGGAAGAAAGAAAGAAACAGAGAAAGAAAGAGAGAAAGAAAGAAAGAAAGAAAGAAAGAAAGAAAGAAAGAAAGAAAGAAAGAAAGAAAGAAAGAAAGAAAGAAAGAAAGAAAGAAAGAAAGAAAGAAAAAAATAATGACAGATAAAGAAAAGAGGAAGAAAGAAAGAAACAGAGAAAGAAAGAAAGAAAGAAAGAAAGAAAGAAAGAAAGGAGACAGCCAAACAGACAGAAAGACAGACGGGAAGAAAAAAAAAAGAATGGAAAAAAGAAAAAGTTTGCAGCTAAGTTCACAGGTACTTAAGAAGTGCAGATCAACTACAGACTGTGCAAAAACAGGTGAGAAGCAGAGCAAAGCAGCAGCGGAGATGAAGCGAGACAGGAAGAGAGGTGAGGACTGAGAGAGAGAAGGGTTAGAGAGCGGAGAGACAGACACATGGAGGGAGGTAAAGAAAGGGTTCTATTTTAATTAGTGGCCCTAGAGAGAGTTTGGTGGGAGACAGCAAGAAGACAAGATGGATTTTAATTGGTCTTTCTTGACTGCGAACGTGCACGTGTGCCAGAGAAGGAACGCGAGCGAGGGATGAGAGGAGGCCACGGAGGAGAAGAAGAAAAGACAGGATGTGAGAGCGAGGTGGCCGGTCCAGGTCTGTCACTGGGAGTCTTTTGTGAAGAAGTGGCAGAGCAAAGGAGGCAGAGGAAGTCTGAGAAGGAAAGAAGGGAGGAAAGGAGCGCAGACGGGCAGAAGAATGAGGAGGGGGTTATCCAGAGTTAAGTGGGTGGACAGAGAGACGACGGAAAACGGCTAATGAAAGGCTCCAGAGCAGAGAGAGAAAGAGCAAGGGAGCCAAACAGATGGAGTGCAGAGGGAGAAACAGAGAAAGTTAGAGAGTAAACTAGGTATCTGACCCACCGTCTATGACCTAGTTAAAAAATTACCTCATTTTTTCCCGGTGTAAACTCGTTACAGAAACCAGAAAATACAAGATGTGGTCTGGCTGAGGTCATCTTTCCATAAGCTTTCATATTGAACCAACAGTGATTCGAGATGAAGGTAAAGATCATCTCTTCATCAAACTATCATGTCATAGTCCATCCAAGATCTGACAGCAAATGTCATATTTACAAATACTGCAAGCTTGGCCAGTGATGAGACATCCATAAGTTGCTAATTAGCTGTCAAGCAAATGTAATTGTCATCAATCAGGCCCATCTGAAGGGACAATCATCTCATGTCATGAGCGTTTATGGTGTCACAGTTGAATAAATGAACACTGGACCAGAATAAATGGAGTTTGTTTGACCTTTTCTCTTGGTTTTCTCAAGATAATACATTTAGAAACTAATCTGAGGATCAGTTTCATGTTTAATTTCATTAGAGATCGGTACTGAATATTTATTAGTTAAGGAATAAAGAGTCATTCATGCCAAAGACAGTAACTATAACTATAGAAGTTTTAATAATTGTTCTAATTCTATTAGAATACTGAAATCCATACCACAACTATAATGATAATGACGTTTGGTTGGAATCATTTTCAGAATTTTTTTTTTTCCAGCAGATGAACGATAAAAACACTGACAGCCAATCAGATTCCACCCAGCTTTTAAAGGGATAGTTCACCCAAAAATGAAAATTCTGTCATCATTTACTCACCCTCAAGTTTAAAGAAAATTTAAAGTGATAGATGACATAACTACAGCACTCGCTTAGAATAAACAAAGCGATATGGTCTGTTGGTGTGGATGCCAATATAGTTTTTGTTATCTTTCTTAGTGTGAATGGGCCTATATGGAAGCGTTAAGCCTCACAGAGTGAAAAATAAAATGGGTAATTGTGAGATAAGGATTAAAATAAAGTCAGTTATGAGGGGGGAAAAAGTCACAACTGCAAGATAAAAAGTTGCAGTTGTGAGATATGAAAACCATAGTGAAATTGCAATTGTTAGAACTGTTAGAAATGTTAGATATCTTCACATTTGTGATCTGAAAGTCTAGAAAGTTTCTTCAATGGTGGAATCTTACTGTCACAGGTTATCTGTGTTTTGTGTTCAGTTCTTTCTGTCGTTTATGCTGCTTTCATGCACTATCGGAATTGTCCTACTTACCACTTCTGAAGTTGTAATTATGAGTTTGCTGCGTTCAAGTGCTTTGTTGTTATTGAATCATGGAGAATGGCCCATTCATGATTTTATTCTTGCCTATTTCGTGGAGAAATCTTATTAAAGTGAAAATGTACTGAAAATATTTAGTCAACATTCAAAAGGTTTTGAATAAGAATGAAGCATCCCATCCATGAATAGCCATTTAAACATTCGCCGCACTAGAAATTCAGCTTGCTGACAATTCTGAAATTTTGGTCAAATAAATGCTGTTTAGGCTGTGTATAATACATACAATAAGCATCAAATGGCTATTTATATACATAAGTGTACATGACTGTAACGGCAAGAGAAAAAAAAAATGTAGATGTTGTGGGAAAAATAACTATGAAAAAAAAATAATATTACAACTATGTTTTTCTCCTCAGCAATGTTTCAAGTTTACAGCCCCCCAACTTGCAAACTTGGGTATCAAAATGTTTCCCAGTTGTAAATATGAGTTGACATACTTTTACACTAGCTTCCATGTGTAACAGCATGCTTTGTGAATGATTCATTATGTATCAACCTTTAAGCCTTAAAAGGTTAGTTCACCCAAAAATGAAAATTGGCTTGTGTTTTACTCACCCTCGAAGCATCCTAGGTGTATATGACTTTCTTCTTTCAGACGAATCCAGTCGGAGTTATATTAAAAATTGTCCTGGCTATTCCAAGCTCTATCATTGCAGTCAGCGGGTGTTGCAGTTGAACAGTCCACAAGTCGTCAAATAAAGCGCGCGCATTCATAATAAACGTGCCTCAAACGGCTCCGGGGGGTGAATAAAGTTCTTCTGTAGTGAATCCATGCGTTTTTTTTTTAAGAAAAATATCCATATTTCAAACGTAATAAACACTTTTATATCACTTCCGCCAACTGTCATAAGCGGAAGCCGTGCCGGCGGATGTCGTAGCACGTCGGCGTTGCGTGATTAGTG